GAGTGCCCACCAGATGAGCTTCGTTGATTGACGGGAGAGTCAGGAGGGCCCCTCCCTGTGATCGTAGTTCCCGGACAGGAACATAGGGGGGGGGGAAGACAGTCCCAGTCCTGAGCCAGGTAGGTCTTTACGTGAGTGGCAGCGTTGTGTGCCATTGGTCTTTGATGGTTGTGCAGAAGCTGTTGCTGGTTAGACGTGAGGTCCCTTTCTCTCTGCAACGGGTTTGGAGGGTAGGCTACGGGCCGTGTTCCTTCTAAGCTGAGTTAGAGTGAGCTAGCTCACCGTTTTTTAGCCTCTGTCTCACACATTAAGCTCAGGAAGGAGGGCTCCAGAGCAAACTAATTTATGCAGCAGCTAATATCACCCACTCACAACTTTAATGCCCAGTAGCTTACAAAGTAGAATTCTTGCTTACAGGACTCCATAGCTTAGAGGGAGCATTGGTCACGGGCCACACGGGGCTTTTTGCTTATTAGTGGAGGAGACAGGCAGCTGCTAAGGAGATGTTCCCGGCAAACCGAAAAGTCTCCTCCAGGGAAGATCAGCCTGTAAGTGCCGGAGTCTTTTGTACCCTGCCAAACACTGGGTGCTTCTGGCAAAATCATGAGGTTTTTTTGTTTAATCCTTTCCTGTCAGTCATTTTGTCCTTCCAGAACTCCCTGAGCCTGCGATCCACCTTGCAAGTTTGTCAGCCTCCCCTGCTGGCGATGTGTTTGGCATCTCCCGTCTCCCAGTTTGGTATAGTGGTGAAGTGCACGGACTCCAATCTGGGAGAACCGGGTTTGATTTCCCTACTCCTCCACTTGCAGCTGCTGGGTGACCTTGGGCAAGCCCTAGTTCTGACAAGAGCTGTCTTTGAAAAAGAGCCGTTTCTGTCAGAGCTCTCTCAGCCCCACCTGCCTCACTGGGTGTCTGTTGTGGGGAGGGGAAGGGAAAGGAGTTTGTGAGCCGCTCTGAGTCTCCTTTGGGTAGTGAAGGGCGGGGTATAAATCCAATCTCTTCTTCTCTTCTGGGAGCTTTCCCTGGGGTTATCTTTTATATCCAGCATTGGGGCTTCATTGCAGGTCGTACACTTACGGATAGCAGGCTGTCAGAGACCCCAGACCCTGCGTCCTTTCCCACTTCGTGCTGTTCTGTCTTTTTTTGAAGGCAGAGCAGAGCTCTTTGTACTCTTTCTGCGGTTTAGCAAATTCAGCGTTCAGTGCATCAAGCCGGGAAATGAAAGATTCCTGAAGGACTCTCGAATCGGTCAGTTCAGTGTGTGCGTTTGTACATTAATGGCATTTTGCATGATCCATAACTGCCGGGGGGGGGGGGCAAAGGGTTTTGTGGGGGGCCCGGCGCCTCTCTGTTCACTGCCCACTGGAAGCCTAGACTCTTGGATTCTAGTTCTCCCCAACGTGAGTCAGTTTGTGTGTGGGCAGTACTGCTTTCAAAGGGCAGGTTGGGAGCTCACTTGAAAAGGATTCACTCCACCGTGAAAGCTCCCATGTTGTGGAGAAGGCCGGGCTAGAACCACTCTCCCTGACAAGCTACTCATCTATGTGGAGGGGATGTTTTCGGTGTGAAGAATTATTGTTTGGTGAACCAGCTTGGTGTCGTGGTGAAGTGTGCGGACTCTAATCTGAAAGAACCGGGTTTGATTCCCCACTCCTTCACTTGCAGCTGCTGGATGACCTTGGGCAAGCCACAGTTCTGTCAGAGCTGTTCTCTCAAGGGCAGTTCTTAAAAGAGCTCTCTCAGCCCCGCCTACCTCATGGGGTGTCTGTTGTGGGGAGGGGAAGGGAAAGGAGATTGTAAACCGCTCTGAGACTCCGAGTGAAGGGTGGGGTAGAAATCCAGTCTCTTCTACTTTTTAAGTGAGTGCTTACCTGCAGTCAGCTTCCAGGCAGGACTTGGAGGTCTCCTAGAGTTGCAGCTGGTTTCCAGACAACAGAAATCATTTCCCCTGGAGAAAAGGCTGTGGAGGCTGTTATACCCTGCTGGGGTCCCTCCCCAAGCTCCACCCCCACGTCTCCAGGACTTCCCCACCCAGAGTTGGCAACTGTAGGTACGACCCAGGTACATGTTTGCCTCAGTGAAAACTAGGCCTTGAAGGTTATCTTTTTTGAGCCAGTTTGGTGTAGTGGTTAGGAGGGCGGACTCTAATCTGGGAGAACCAGGTTTGATTCCCTGCTCTTCCACATGCAGCTGCTGGTGTGACCTTGGGTCAGGCACAAGTTCTTTCAGAGCTGTTCTCTCACGAGCAGTTCTGGAAAGAGCTCTCTCAGCCCCGCCTACCTCACAGGGTGTCTGTTGTGGGGAGGGGGAAGGGAAAGGAGATTGTAAGCCGCTCTGAGACTCCGAAGTGAAGGGCGGGGAATAAATCCTATCCCCTTCCCTTCTTCTTCTTCTTCTTTTAAAAAAAGGCTTCGTCTTTTTCAAAAAGTAAAACAGAAGGTTATTAGGACACAGAATTTTTCCACTTCTCAGTTTCAGTCTTCTGCTGATTTTATTTTCCGTTCACAGAACATCATAATCACTGTTGCTGATAAGCTTCTGTGGGATTGGGACAGGCTTTTGGTAGAAGTTTGTTTTAAAATATATTTTTGTCCCTTGTGGTCCTGGAGGTAAGCTTGAAAGTTTTTTGGCGCGTTCTGGGGGGGTGAGACAGTGTGGACAGGGACCGACCTCCCAACCACAGTTTGTGGGCTCTGTTTTGCTCTTTCTTTCTTTCCCCTCCTAAAATGAGCAATTCTCTCACCCTTGGATCGCCGCTAACAAATAACCAGAGAGTGATTTCCACAAAAGTGATCAGCTTTATTGTAGGTACGAACAAGCGCTTGAAAGAAGTCATAACCAGAACAACTTAACATTGGGAGGTAGGCTCCTTTTAAACATTCCCCGGGCTAACGTAGCCACGCCTATTTACAATAAACAACCAATGAGGTTGTGCAGATAACGTCCAATGAAAGTCCTTCCCTCGCAGGGAATTGGTATCGTTCTGATTGGTCGCTGTTGTGATGCGACCAATAGCAAGTTGGCTCAGAGGAGCCTTCCTCTGGCTCGAGCTTATCATGGAGAGTTAATGCGGCGATTCATGTAAGCCTTTTCGAATACAGAACCTAAAAAGGTTAGTCAAGGATAGAAGAGGGAGAGAATATATAGTAGACCAGAGAGAAGGGCTACTGGACATGTGATTTGTGGGAGCTGGTAGAGATCTCCATGTCCTGCCCTGAACGTGGTGCAAGTCATTCCCTTCTTACTGGCTCAGAGTGTTTTTAAATCCAAGGAGTTAAAACGGGGGACAGACGTCAGATTCCTGGTCTTGCAAAGGCTCTGCCCCTAAGGAAGGTGTCCGGCATACCTGGAAATATTCTTGGCACCTAAACAATTCAGTTTGGATAGTTTTTCTGGCTAATCTTGGTTGGTGGAACTTTGCTGAGGATTAAATCAGGGGGTCCCTAATCCTTTTCCGGGATTAAATCAGGGGGTCCCCAACCTTTTTGAGCCCGCGAGCACCTTTGGAATTCTGAAACAGTGAGGTGAGCGCAGGCACAAAATGGCTGCCTCCAGAGGTGGAGCCAGACCCACAATGGCTGCTGCAGCAGCTCACTTTCAGTAGCGCAGTGAGGATTCTTGTCCCGTGGCGGCAGCCGCACAGCCAATCAAATCTCCAGTGGCCAATAAGAAGCTTTGCTGGGCAGAAGACTCACTTGCCCCCGCCCATTTTCTGCGAACCCTTGGTAGGTAGCAGGAAGAGTGTTGGCAGATACCATGGCGCCCGTGGGCACCGCGTTGGGGACTCCTGGATTAAATACCAATCCTTTGCTTTGAATTCTCCCCTCTAATAACAGACCTCCCCCCCCCTCGGTGAGCTCCCCACACCCTGTGGAATCTCCTGAGGGCAAACGAGAAGACGTTCTTGGTGCTTGGCGCCTGGATTCGGACGGGCGGTTTGCTGCTTCTGTCTTCTATTTAATTATTAAAAGAAATTCAAAATTGCCTCTTACAAATAAAGGGTTTTGGGAATCACGGTTGGTGTGTTTCATTCTCGGAATGGCACCTGGTAATTTTTTTCTTAAATTCTTCTGCAAGCTGTAATGGGGAGGCTATGTTTGCATTTGTGACAGGCGCCGGAAAGGTTTGTTCGCGATTATGTAGATGCCGTGCTCTGTAGTTCCATATGCACAGGCTCGGGGCCCGTAAGGAACTGCAAGGGAGGAGGAAGCAATTTGAAACGCCCCCCTCGCATTCACTACCTTCTGAAGAACTCCTTGGCTAAACCCTGTATAGGATTCCGCCCCCCAAGCCTGTCCAGGAATGGGAGGATGGTATCGTTCTGATTGGTCGCTGTTGTGATGCGACCAATAGCAAGTTGGCTCAGAGGAGTTGGCATCTTTCGATCAGCTCCCCCTGGCGTACTGTACCGGTATGAGAGCAGACGGCTCCTGCAAATGTGCTTTGTGGGAGCTGGTAGAGATCTCCATGTCCTGCCCTGAACATGGTGCAATTCATCTCCTTCTTACTGGCTCAGAGTGTTTTTTAATCCAAGGAGTTAAAACGGGGGACAGACTTCAGATTCCTGGTCTTGCAAAGGCTCTGTCCCTAAGGAAGGTGTCCGGCATACCTGGAAATATTCTTGGCACCTAAACAATTCAGTTTGGATAGTTTTTCTGGCTAATCTTGGTTGGCGGGACTCTGCTGAGGGCTCCTTTTCCGGGGTTAAATCAGGGGGTCCCCAACCTCTTTGAGCCCGCGAGCACCTTTGGAATTCTGAAACAGTGAGGTGAGCGCAGCCACAAAATGGCTGCCTCCAGAGGTGGAGCCAGACCCACAATGGCTGCTGCAGCAGCTCACTTTCAGTAGCGCAGTGAGGATTCTTGTCCCGTGGCGGCAGCCGCACAGCCAATCAAATCTCCAGTGGCCAATAAGAAGCTTTGCTGGGCAGAAGACTCACTTGCCCCCGCCCATTTTCTGCGAACCCTTGGTAGGTAGCAGGAAGAGTGTTGGCAGATACCATGGCGCCCGTGGGCACCGCGTTGGGGACTCCTGGATTAAATACCAATCCTTTGCTTTGAATTCTCCCCTCTAATAACAGCCCTTGTTTCCCCCCTGGTGAGCTCCCCACACCCTGTGGAATCTCCTGAGGGCAAACGAGAAGACGTTCTTGGTGCTTGGCGCCTGGATTCGGACGGGCGGTTTGCTGCTTCTGTCTTCTATTTAATTATTAAAAGAAATTCAAAATTGCCTCTTACAAATAAAGGGTTTTGGGAATCACGGTTGGTGTGTTTCATTCTCGGAATGGCACCTGGTAATTTTTTTCTTAAATTCTTCTGCAAGCTGTAATGGGGAGGCTATGTTTGCATTTGTGACAGGCGCCGGAAAGGTTTGTTCGCGATTATGTAGATGCCGTGCTCTGTAGTTCCATATGCACAGGCTCGGGGCCCGTAAGGAACTGCAAGGGAGGAGGAAGCAATTTGAAACGCCCCCCTCGCATTCACTACCTTCTGAAGAACTCCTTGGCTAAACCCTGTATAGGATTCCGCCCCCCAAGCCTGTCCAGGAATGGGAGGGAATCCTATACTTTTACAATACATTAACAACAACCCAGAGAGGTAGGTTACCCTCTCTGGATTTCAGAACAATAAGCCACCAGACTCTCTCAGTATTCTATAATCCCCTCCAGCTCAGAGCAGAGATTCAGATCTCTCAGCTGGCATCTAGGGCTTAACACATTAGCACCTCATTCCTAGAGAGGTACACTTAATGCTCAATGGTAGCGTGTGGCCAGCTAGGCACAGGAAATAGACTTGGAATCCCAGTCACAACACCAGAGACCATTTAGAAACAAGAATAAGTTTTTATTCAGGACAGGACTTAGCAACAGACTATAGTGTTTATAAAATAACAAGCCTAAGGCGGTTTGCCTTAACTAAACAGTAATGGTTCATATTTACCCAGTCAGGATAGCATCAGTCCAAATCACATCCAAGGTATACAGTCCAATTAGACACCAAGGGATCTTTAAGGGAAATCCCATCCTTGCCCTCCTCCATGTGCTCTAAGGCACAAAGCAGTCCTTTGTCTCTTCCAGAGATCACATGTCCAGGTGCAATAAACAGGCAACAACAGGAGACCCAGAAGCAAAAGCAAGGGACAGAGAGAGTTTCTCTCATTGGGTCTGAACAGATATAGCCCAATTTCAGTCACAATTAGCCCTGGCCAGTAGCCAATTGTGAGTGAGTATGGGATGTGGCCAATTGTTAGTTGCAATGGTTGCAACACGGGAATGGCTAGGAGTTTGGAGGCCACACCTGCAGGCATGTGACCCCAAATTCCAACTACTTCATTGCGTACCTGACGTCTGGCTTTCGGCATGAAGGTGTGAAAGAATGTGGGTTTATGGCATGCTATTGAGGCCATCTGGCCTCAGCATTTGGCTTGTAAGAGGAAACAAGGTACAGCGTTATCAAAGACAGAACAGGAGAAGGCAGGAGGCTTTCAGAAGTCAATATTTCTATACAAACCCCTTCCTCCTTTTCTCCTTCAACTGGTGCAGTGCTCTGAGCTGCACCGAGAATTCTTTGCCTTCTGGAACCGGCTCAGTCTTCATCATGCTGGTTTCTGGGTTTTTTTTCTCATGCTGTGCTGCGTACCTGGGAGGCCCGTGCGTCATTTGCGGGTATCCCCCTTGTGCTACTTTCTTTGAGGGGTAGTGGGACCAGCTAAAAGCTGTGTCCTACACAGAACTCTGCTGCCGCCAGAGGCAGCGGAATTCCGCTCAGACCACCACAGTGGTGGTGATGGTTGTTTCCTTCCCCTACCCCACCATTGGCTGGAATAGAAAGGCTCACTTGGGGGCCGCGTCCTCCCATATGGCTCCGCCCACAATTGGAAATCCACCAATGAAGCCCTGTTCTGGGGCCAGAGTGGGTTTCACTCGGAAGCGTGGACTTCTCTGTGCTGGCCCCTGCGCTCTGGAATGCCCTTCCTCTGCATGCTGCCTGATTACCGCTTCGTAAGCCGGTCGTGTCTTCGAGGGTTAACTTTGTGGCTTTGCTCCGCCGTTTTTATTTTTATTTTCCGTTTTTAAAACTATATCTTAATTGTTTTGATGTACCCGTCCCTCCACTTTTGAGCATGAGTTGGGAAACCAGTATATCTGTTTCATACGTGATGTGTGAGCGCTAGTCACTTTGGGGGAGCTTGTATGATTGATATGAACATTAGGCGTTATTTACGGATCTCTCACTAAGAAGACTGTCACAGTTTGGTGTTGTGGTTAAGTGCGCGGACTCTAATCTGGGAGAACCGGGTTTAATCCCCCACTCCTCCACTTGCAGGTGCTGGTGTGACCTTGGGTCGGTCACAAGTTCTCTTAGAGCTGTTCTCTCGAGAGCAGTTCTCGGGAGAGACCTCTCTCAGCCCCGCCGACCTCACAGGGTGTCTGTTGTGGGGAGGGGAAGGGAAAGGAGTCTGTAAGCCGCTCTGAGACTCTGAGTGAAGAGCGGGGCATGAATCCAATCTCTTCTTCTTCTTGATGGATTAATTGCGTGAATACTAATGGTTTAAATTCACAGTTGCTCCGAAGGGCTCCAAAAATGCTTTGTGTTCTCTACAGGGTGATTCTTCTTCCTAAGAGAGAGCTGTACAATAGTGTGGGGGGACTAAATTTCTCTTTTTGCTCCCTCCACTCCCCAGGTCAGCTCCTCCTCCCGCCGCTGCCCCCCCCGCCGCTGGAGGA